TACTGAGGCCTTGGGGGGTTGGTGGTTTGTTGTCTTGCCGGGCCGTTGTTCGGGCTTGTACGGCGTTGAGGCGTTGTTGGATCGCCCGGATTGAGGTCGGGACGGACGCGGTCTCAGTCCATGTGTCGGGTAAATGTTTGAAGGCGTGATGGTGTCCTAGGCCTTTGATAATGGCATCGACGGTTACTGTTGCGTCGGCAGATATGTTTGGGTATTGTGCAAGACGCATACGCATACGTAGCGTTCTGTGTTTTTTGATGTACTCGTCGACTGTGGTGTCGGGGGTAAGGCGAAGGCGGTCGGCTTCCTGGCTTAGGAGTAGATGAGTTGTAGGGGAGCTGTCCGTAAAGTGGGTTTCGATTTTTGCCAGTAGCGCGGCTGGTGAAGCGTCGAAGGTTAGGTCGGTTGTTTCCGCTAGGTCCTGTGAGAGACTGTTCGTAATCAACATAGGCATTGAGGCGCAGTCCTTTGTGCGCTTGGCCTGTTGCCCGGGGTCCTGTGGGGGAGGTGTGTGTGACGGATCAAGCGCATGTTGCGCGTCATTGATAACGGCGATTTCTCGAAGTGCTTGTCTCCATATGGGGAAGGGGGAAGTTGGTTCCTTCTGGGGGGAGGGCGGGTAGGTGTCTGTAGAAGGGGGAGGGGCGCCGATTGGGAGTGACGGTTTCCTCGTGTGGATCCATGAGATGGGTGGGGGGGGACGGCGGTGGTGTAAGAGAGGGTTGCGTGGTGGGGCTCGGGGGGGTGGTGCGGTGCGGGGATGGGAAAGTGTGGGGGGTGATTAGTGCTGCGAGGCGGCGCTCGACGTGTTGTGACGGAGGCGGGACTGTCAGGACTGGGTTGGGACGATCTGCGGTGTGACGCTCGACGAGGGGGAGCGATGGGGAGGCAGAGTCAGTCGAGGGAGGGGTATACTGCAGGCTGGCGGGGGTGTTGCCGTGCACGGCACCACATGTGGTGCAGGGGGTGTGAGGCCGGGTGAGTGGCGTTGTGATCTGCGAAGGGGCGGTCTGTGATCGTGTTTCAGGGTGGGTTTGCGATTCGGGACCATAACCTGTGGTGCAAGGAACGATGGTCCAATGTTTACTGAGGCTAGAGGTCGGTGCACCAAAAGGGACGGCGGCGGAGGCGCCGTCTCTGGGGTGGACACCTGGCGTGCGTGTGTGCGTGTGACAGGTGTACATGGGAATCAGGACACTTTCGATGTCGCCATAAGAGGACGGTTAATGATATTACTACATCAGAAACACGGTTTTTCTTTGACAGATCATGCGTGTATGTAGTTTCCCTCCACGGTACATGGAATCTCCGTATGGTTTACGATAGTGCGAAATACGGGCAGTTGCCGTCCCTTGCTGTACACATTCATTCCTGTTCATGATCGTGGAACTCAATTCCAAGACAGAATTCCCAGAAAAAAAAAATTTGTCGATTGAGCCGCTTCCTTTGAAGTTGTGGATCACGTGTTGGTCGTTTTCGGTCCATATGCTACACAGATGGACATTATTTTAATGTTGCTAAGCTAATACTTAAAATAGTAGGCGGGATAGCCTGTAGATAATGCATCATTAGGTTTGGGGAATCAGGTGCGTCATCAAAGTAGCGGCAATCCTATTCGCTGAAGCTAAAATTCGTCAAAGAAGCAGTTCAACGATCAACCGACAATGCACCTGCGAGGCACCGCTGTTGTGGGGAGACGCATATGCATGCGCCATACAGCTGCGGTTATAGCCACCAGATACTGCACCGGGACAAGTTAAAAGCATGCCGTCACGAAAAGATACACACACAAAAAGGCTTGATGTGTATGAAAACATCGGCATTTAGGATTCTGCAATCAAAATTAAAACCGAAACGGACTTCTAGAAGGAAACTACCACATCTATTCCTTTGCCTGTACCGGTTCATCCATAACGCTAAGGTCTGTGTACTCTTCCCCAAAAGGCTAGTCCCGGACACTTTTCAAACAATCTTCGAAAAAAATACTTTGCTGCGGATTTTCGCTGTTCTAACCAGTATCAATCGATCTGGGAGGCTGTTTTCTAGCAAACTTCAGTCGCCGGACTGCAGAACGCCTGTGTTTGAGGACAAACTCCGACAGTAGTGGCCAGCGCCCAAATTGACATGTGAGACATTCACAGTTTAATTCCGGACAGACCTTTATTTCCCCTCCAACCCGCCTCCAACCAACTTATTGACGCAGTCGGTCGCATCCATTTGCACCACTGTTCCTTCTGACGTGGGTTTAAGACCAGCTGTTTGTTCCGCTGGCGCTTTCTCTTCATCATAGCCTTCTGCCCCTGGAAGCCCGATTTCTCTTCCACAAATCCAGGACGTTTCGTTGCCCTCCCCGTCTCCGTCCTCTGCTTCTTCTCTATTCTTTTTATCCTCGCTGCATCCCGTTCTGCCATCTTTCTCTTCTTTTCATTAGCCACCTTCATCCGCGCCGCTTGCGCGTCAGCAATCTTCCTCTTTTTTCATCAGCCAATCTCTTGCGCTCCGTGTGGGATAACTCCTCTCCGCCCTGGGTTGGGTGAGAGGCGGAGGCTTCAGTGAGGGAGCACGCGGCGCGGACGCGACGCGCCAATTGAACCGATCGGACGAGCTCGCGAGAAGAGAGTGGCTCACTGGCCGGTTACGCGCAGTCGCCCCGTGGTGCGTGAACGGGAGCGACCGGTAACGGGTTAGAAGCCAGCGCGCGCGACAGACAACCAAAAACGGACGTACGTAGGCGCCTCAATTCCTAATTACCGCGCGGACGCTGCAGCTACACGTGTGTACTACTGTACACACGCGCTGCTTACAGACTACCGCACGGATGCCACGTGTGCTAGCGTACACGCGTCATACTGGTGGACTACCGCTTGGCCGACACGTGCACTACTGTACACGTACGCCAGATTACGACCGCTCGGCACGCGCACGCTCCCTACACGTGGGCACACCCGCCCACGTGTCCACCGTGCACGGCCGCACTGTTAATAATCTCCCCGCGCGCGCGTCCGTCGTTATACTACACTCCGCCTGCACAGCTGCCCGGCGTTTGATTTTTCGCTCATCAGCCGCACGGGCTTCCTCTTCTTTCTTACGCCTCCTCGCTAACATAGCCTCTACGGTCAAGTGCTTCGCAGGTGCCCCACAGTCGAGATGAACGTTTCGTTTGGATAAATTACTGCTTTCGGCAGTGCTGGCCGTGTGCCATGGAGCACAGTTCATCAGTATTGAGTTCACTGTTTCAGCGTTTCGAAGAAGGATAGTGAGTTCTTGCAATTTTTTAGACGCACCCAATTCGCTTTAGGCAATTTCCAATACTTTGGAAAACGTCACCCGATCCCTCCCTCGCCTCCGTATGACATTGGACCGCTGTCCTACTGAATACCTACCGCTATTGCATCTTGCGTCTTCGAAGTGATAAAGCGGTTTGGGAAATTTTCGTCAAATGGAAACAATCCTGTCTTCTGGAAGGATTGGCGGATATTTTCAACCGTCACAGCTTCGAATGCATGCACGCCACATATTGAATTAAATCGAACATCCCTTGTTTGGACTACGACTGACTTGTTAAACTCATCTCTAATGTCGCAGATAGAAGTGTTAAATATTTTGTTAACCCTTTGGTCACAGGGCTGCAAAACATGCGACGTGTTGGCTGGAGAAAGGACAACCTCACACCCATTACTAGAGCACTCCTGTAGCCATTCCAGTCCATTTCTTGAACTATGACCGTCAATAGTTAGTAAGTAGTTCACACCCTGCGGCACGAAGTTGCATACATATTTGTTGAGATGCTTGACGAAAGATGGCAAGATATCCATTTCCATAGATCCCTTTTCGCTACATTTGACAACCCCCCATCAGGAAACCATCCATTTCCCTGATACTTGTCGCAGACAGCGCTACTTTTCTTGTATATCTTTGGCAGCGGTTCAAACCAATTTGACATCACATGCTTCCCTGCCACGATAAATAAGGGAGGCGCTTTCCTTCCGGATCCAGAAACAGCTACGACTGCAGTAACATGCTTTGAAATGCCTTGCGTTTTTGACGACGCAACAAATCCACCATGATGAGTGTTAGATGAGCCAAAAACTTTTCTCCTCTTACCAAACGTGGCATCAACGGACGTTTCATTGACGTTCCATATGCGGTCACCATCAGATAGCATACCTGGATTTTGCTTCTCTACAGTTTGAAGAATCTCAAAAAACCCTTTAACATGGCCGTAGTTCTCTCCTTTCAATTTTGCACAATCCTTGTCGTCACAGTTTCGGTACGTTATTTCCCTATGCCGGGCTCTAAACGAACGCACGGCGTCATCAGAAGGCACACCGTTCTTCCAACCCTCTCTTCCATCTGCTGCGACATGCCCCATTATTCTTTTTATGCCATCAATGTCGACGGCATATCCTCGACTAGCAGCAAATACTAGTCTTTCAGCAATCATGGCTTCTTCCTCTTGAGTCAGAATTGTTGGCCTACCCTGCACGCCATTGGCCATTACTTGTTTTTCTACAGCCTGTGCATCTTCTGTTCGAAGTAGTTCTTTTATTTCCCCAACCACTGTCTTGCTCAATTCTGTGGCAGCGGCAATTTTTCGCAAAGAAAGTTGAGTTGAGGTGAGCAATTTTACAGCAGCGGCTTTCCCTTCTTTTCGCGCTTTGTCGCGGCTTTCTCGGTACTTGAGGAGCTTGGTTTGCTTGCGCATGGACAAGGTCATAATGTGCGCTTTGCTCCTGTGAGGATCGCAGGAGCTGAGGTTGAAAGACGTAGGATTGTGTTATGCCCTGCGAGATACTACTGTATCGGGGAGAAGAATGCACATCGAAGACAGAGCGTTTCGAAATGGGCGGGAAATGTGGGAATTATTCGTTGGTTCAAATACCTGTCGGGTAAAGTCAACCAGAGGAGGGCACTTGTTTCATATCTATTTGCTTTTATCGGCATCCCAGACATTTCGGTGGTCAAGTTTTCTTCTGTCCGAAATTACCCCGTGTCCGGAATTAACCTTTTGGAGAAGGGTAGCCCTCACTGGTCCATACATTTTCCTTACTCGTGTACCAATATTCCATCGGAAGCATCGGGCGTAATTCCCTCCCCTCCTGCATCTTCTCGACCAAATCCGGATTTGAGAGGAACGGCCTTCCAAACGCGACCAAGTCTGCGCCGCCCGCGGACAGCTCCTTCTCTGCCGAGTCGGCGTCGAATCCAACATTCGCAATAATCGGTCCCGGGAACTCCTTCTTCAGCTCCGCAATCGTCATCGGCTTGCCCTTGTTGTGGAAGCCGAAGCCCAGCCCGATCATGACGTGAATGTAGCCCAGCTTGTACGCACTGAACCTCCTCGCGTAGTACAGGAACGACTCGCGGAAGTCGTCGCTCCCCATGCCATTGTACACACCGTTCGGAGCGATGCGGATCCCCACGCACTCCGGCTCGAACATCGTCAGAACAGCGCGGATACACGCGTCCACAATGCGGAAACGGTTCTCCAGCGATCCTCCGTACTGATCCGTGCGATGGTTCGAGCAGCTCTGCATGAAAGTATCCAGCAGAAAGCCGTTCGCGCCATGGATCTCCACGCCGTCAAAGCCGCCATCCCTGGCGGATGTATTGTATAGCACGGGAAGAGCGATAGATGAAGATGGCGGATAAAGACGGGGGTGTTGTAAACGGGGCGGGCAAGGCTCTACTCCTTCTTTGTGTGATAGGTTTTCCGGAAGAAGCGCAGAAACAGAAGCAAGTAGGTGGCGTTAATAAGTGCGGACACAGCGAGCCCCCTCCCCCCTCTGCACGGCCCCCGACTCCTGAGCCAGATGTACGGGACCAAGCTCGCAAAGCCCGCGACAAACTGGACGATCTGGCAAGTGGTGATCATCTTCTTCCCCGGAAAGGGGATCTTGAGCAGGGCGGCAGCATAGTAGGCGTACATCACGACGTGGACCAGGGTGTTGAACCACATGCCATACACGCCGATGACGACGCCGTCCTCCAGCCACATCCACACCTCGTACATCACGGACGCGTGGTGCCACACGTGCAGCAGCGTAGGCCGGCGGCCGCGAACGACCAGCAGCGCGGTGTCGGCCAGCTCATACAACTTGGACAAGAAGAAGACGTACTGCCATCACTGCACGTCGCCCGCGACGTCGCCCGGCACGCACACCGTGCTCGCCCAGCCGTCGGCGCGCGCCACGCGCGCGATGGCCAGCGAGGCGCCGCCGTGCATGTACAGCGACGAGAGCGAGAGGAAGACGTTGTGCGCCGCGGCGAGCAGCACGAAGGCGCGCGACGCGGCGAAGGCCGGGCGGTAGCGGCGCACGTGGCGGTTCAGAAGCGCGGTCACGAGGAGGTAGGCGGCCGTGATGACGAGCAGGTGCGGCAGGTAGGACAGCGGCGTCGTCGGCCCCGTGCAGGCGGCCAGGTGCTGGAAGAGCGAGCGGAGCGGCGGCGGCGGGGTCGTGCAGCTGTGGTAGCGGAAGGGTTGCGACATCTTGCGGGACGGTGGGAGGTGCGCGCGGCGAGACGCGGAGGGGGAGGGCGGGGGGGGAGAGCGGAGGGGGAGGGCGGAGGGGGAGGGCGGAGGGGGAGGGCGCCGCGATGCAGGCGTTGGCGGTTTGATGGCAATGAGGAGGGCGGGATTGGTGGGAAGAAGGAGCACGTGAGAGGGAGGCGGGTCCTGTGGGAGGCGGTTCATAGGAAATTGATCGGGGCGGTGCCAGCAATGTACAGCTTTTCGAAACGTTTCGCTAAATATTTTGAAGGTTTTCGAAAAAGACAAGACACTTTTATCATTTTACCCTTGCTCTAATACTGTACACGTGTACATAGCTACCGTAGAGCTAGAGATTAGAGCATCTCTACCGCAAAAGGTCTATTTTAGAATCTATTGAGGGGTCTTGGGCCAAGTGTGGAGTTGTGATAGGTAAATCTAATGCACGATTTAACAGATAGAATAAGAATGTTTTCAGAACAGCCTCAACCCTACCGCACGCCCAAAATCTATTCCCTTTCCCTCGCGTCGCACGTTTCCATCATGTTCTGTTCCTCAAAGCACGACTCCAGTGACGAGGACAACTTGTGCTACCTCGCGATAGCAGGCATACTTCCATGCTGTGAGCTCCAGGCTCGAAACACAAGGCGATCCAGGGGCCCAGCCTGGCAAGCGACCAAAATATCATCCGCCAATTTGGCGCGTGATTCTGCACGAGGTGACCAATCATTGCTTGGTTTGTGGCATTCTATTGGATAGAATAGATCACGATCGGAGTCTATTGGAGGGTCGAATAGACTCCGATCGGAATCTATTCTATGAAAATTTGTATTGAATAGATTAGATTTTTGCGGTAGAGTGACGTTCGAGGTTTTCGAATGTAAAAATCCCGATAGATTTCATTTTAGACTACCGGTAGAGATGCTCTTAGAGCGAGCTTCAATAGAGAGAGCTTTATTTATTAGAGGGAGCTTCATTAGAGGGAGCTTCATTAGAGAAAGCTACATTAGAGCAAGCATCATTATTAGAGAGCATCAACGTTATCAGTGGGATCGGATGGTACATCGCAACAACTTCACGTCCCTACTCCTCCTCCCAAAACTTCTCCGTGTCCTCGGGCAACCAGGTCATCCACTTGCCCATGAGCCTCCCGTCCCGAAGCTCCTCTGCAAACTTCTGCGAGCTCTCCCCAATCCCCTTGCAGACGTCCACACCAGCCTGGATGGACGGCTCAAAGTGCACGCCCGCATACAGCCTGCTCACGCCACACAGCTCGCTCCACTCGCTCAAGTTCTTGAACTCAATCCGCGTATCCTTCTCCGGAACCTGTCCGGGGTAGAACTTGCTCGACCCCTTGGGCACCGTGATCCCGAACGGCAGGTCCTCGCGCGGAGCGTTCAGCTTCGCGTGCTCGACCAGCGCGCTGCACGTGCACGAGCTGCCCGACGGAAACTCTTGATGCGGCATCGTCCGGATGTACGGCTGCCAGTCCCCGGCACGGATCCGCACCGCCTTCTTCCCGGGCCCTCCCCACACCTTCACCTTGCGCTCTCCGAACAGGAACTCCATCGTCTGTCCCGTCGGCCGCACCGCGTCCACGCGTCGCTTCTCCTTCCATGCCGTCACCATCGAGTCCAGCGTCGCCACCGCCCCGCCAAGCCCGTACACCATATCGTCGTCCAGATTCCAGTCGTTGGCCGGGCCCAGAATCCCGAACCGCAGCGCCGTCGCGATGCCGGGCAAGCCGGCGGGGTTGTCCTCCGTGCGGAACGCCTTGCCCTTGTTGTCAAAGTACTCGGCCAGCACGCGCTGCTCCGTCGTCAGCGCCGCGGACGTGGCGAGCACCTTGCGCGCGTGCCGCCGAAGCGCGGCCACGTCCGACTTGAGCGCCGTCTTCACCGTGGCGCCGCCGCGCTTGAACGGGGCGGGCGCACGGCGCGCGCGCACCTCGCTGCGCGTCAGCCCGAACGCTATCGTCCGACCCGCGAACGGCACCACGTTCTCCTGCCGGAAGAAGAAGCCGCGCCCGTTCGACTCCAGCAGCGGCTGCCAGCGGAACGGGTGCGAGATCTTCCACGGGCTGTTCTTTGGCGTGTAGCCGGTGTAGTCGGCGAACGGCTGGCGGTACTGCGCGGGTGTGCCGGCGATGTCGCCCTCGGCGTTCCAACCGTCGATGGCCATCAGGCGCGCCGTGTCGCGGCCGGCGCGGTTGCCGATGCCCACCGGCGTGCTCATGTCTGTGGAGCGGTCGTTCGGGTTGAGCCCCTCGCGCTCGAGCAGAGCGCTGAAGACGGGGATGCCGGAGTTGCCGCCGAAGCTGACGGGTGAGGCCTCGTACAAGCGGAAGAGGGCGTACAAGACGGCGACGTTCTTGTTGTCACGCGTGTGCTCCGAGGCCGGGCGACGGAAGCGGGTGCGGTTGAAGATGTCGGCCGCTGTGGGATGGTAGTTGCACCACGCGTTCCACGCGGCGATGTTAAGGTAGGTGGTGGCGCGGAACTGGATCGGGGTCTCGAGCCCGTCGACGACGATGCGGTCGAAGACCTCTGGGAAGACCAGACTGGCGAGCACGCCGCTCTCGCGGTCGATGGCGTTCGGGGTCTTGCGGCCGGGCGGGGCATCCACAGCGAGCGCGGCGCCCAGTATGAGCAGTGTTAGCGCGGTGAAGAGGGCGGCCCTCATGCTGGCAGTTGGTCCGGTACGAGTTGCAGTGGCGGAGGCGTGTCGGGTTGGTAGAACGGGTGAGGGTGAGGAGGTGGTTGGGGAGGGAAGCGTCGTTACAGGGCGGGCATGCGCTGTTTAAATAGGCGTCGCGCGGCGGGCGTCCGAGCTTGAAGGAACGAGCAAGCTAGCGCACCAAGCAGCTCAAGGCGACGCACCCCGCGGGGGAGGGTCTCCCCCAAGCGCGGCAGGACGGCTTCTTGCTGCCGCATGCGTGGGCTCTCGCTCCCGCAGGAGAGGGGTGGGCGGTTCTCCGCGGGCGATCCGGAACCGCGCCGCGTGCTGCCGCCACCGCCGCCTCCCCTCCCTTCCCCCGCGCGGCGCTGACCTGTACGCGAGTGTGCATTTCTCCCCGCGGCGCTTTTTGCCACGCTCGTCTGGCGCAAATTCACGCCGCGCCGCGCCCGCGCCGGCGTCCGCGGGGGGAGAGGAGGGGACGGAACCCTCCTCCGGCGGGGACGGGCGCGGGGAGACCGGCTCTGGGCTCTGGGCTCTGGGCTCTGGGCTCTGGGCTCTGGGCTCCGCGCTGTCACGCGCCGTGCGGCGCGTGCGGTGACGTCAGACGGTGACGTCTCGCGCGCTGTACGTAACTTTACGCCTGCCCATGGAACGTACAGTACAGCACTTGTGGCGGGGGCACGCGCTCCGCGTGGGCGCTGTAAGAAGTTGCGGGCAGAAGCAATCAGCCGCGGCATCTGCGAAAACCAGCATCAAGCAAAAAACCAGCCTGTTATGACACACCCTCAGGTCAGGTCAACTCGGCCGCCATCTGGAACCGTTGCCGGGCCGCTGCCACGCGCGCGCCGGCTGGCAGTGGCGACACGCGCGGTGAGCCGGTTATGGCACACTGTTCGCAGGACCCGGAATCCTCAGGCTGGTGTGGCGCGTTTTCCAAAGCGGTTTTTAGGCGCGCCGTCACGCGGGTAGAAACGCTCCGGCCGCGGGGACCGCGCCCCCGCGCGGTCCCCGCGCGCGAAAAGTGCCCACGCAGCATCCGTCTCACGCGCGCCGCGCCGCCAAAAAGGCATCCCAGCTGCCCGCGCGCCCCATTGGCCCGCGCGCGCCGGGCGCCCTCATTGGCCGTCACAGGGCCCCGCCTTTTCGCCACGCCGCGACGGAGGATGCGGATTCGGACCGCGTTCTCACGGGCAAGTTAAGACCCTCCCTGAGGGAGGGTCTTAACTTGCCCGAGTTTGCCCGGGCTTGCTTGCCCCGAGCCATGATTTGCACTACTATTGGCTACTGGGCGTTAATATATGATTTGAAACTAAGTACGACCCTACACTGCAAGCTCAAGTTATGTCAGTGTGTAATGACAAATGTCAATCATATATTGGCTACTTTTGTAAGTTTGTAACTTTCGAATTTGGACGCTGTGCTCCGGTGGACGCAGTGCTTGCCCCTTGCCGAAAACATCCTCAACTCCCCCTTTGCAAAAATCTATGCACCTGCCATCTCGCAAAGGCAACCCAACTCTACGAAGCACCTCTCTGCCGACTACTTTCCTGAAAATGGCTTCCACACCTCAATGCCACGTGCGCCGTTCTCCGCGCCTCTGGCGCATCTCTCTGACTCCCACCATTCGGAAGACGGGGGCCACCAACGCAAAGTCTCTCACTATTGCTTCCTCGTCTGCAGCGGACGTTTCTGACCAAATATTATCCCCCCCTCCATACGGTATGTACGACTGAATTCTTTGTCGTTAAAAATCCTGTTGGCTCTGACAAAATTCCATCCCCGTCCGAGATCTAAAGGCTTTGTGAATTTTCGGGGTCGAGGATAGTTTGAAATAGCTTGGTGCAATGAAAGGAGGGAGAATAGAGCTGCGGTTGCGGTTAGTGCGGTCGTAGCAGTGATGATTCTATTGCCGTGCATTGCGTAGGAGTGATTAGATTGAGAAGAAAGGAGGGGAGGCGAACGGCGATACTGGGCAGTGGTTGTAGATCCGTTTTTTGACCAAACAGCGCCGGCGATAGATACGCTATCCCGCGGAGTAGTAAGGAGAGAAGTAGGGGGTGAGATCAATTATTTATCCCGGTGATCTGGGATCACCCGCAATGGCCACGTTCTGGGTCGGAAGCGAGCGACGCTGCAGCGTCTCGCGTCCATGTCGACGCGTCCCTGGGGCGAAGTTGTTTGACGCTGCAGCATGTCACGTCCCTGTCGATGCGTCCTCGGAGCGAATTTGTAGAACCCACAGTGTCCTCCCCGTTGCGTTCTGGCAATTTATGGTGCTGTATGCCTCTGTAAGTCAGCACCGTCGCTCTGGGACACCTGTCCACTACTAACGTAAGGGGAAGGCGTGTACTTACATTAATAAATTAATAAATGACCGGCAAACTCGGGCAAGCAAAGCAAACCCGGGCAAGTTAAGACCCTCCCTCAGCCCTCGCGATACCCATCCACACTCTTGTGAGCGAGAAACTGAAGCTACTACCCTTAGCATCCTGAACAGAGGCGCCACATCCGTTTTTTTGAGAAACTATGGATTCCCCAGCGAGGAGGTTTACAGTTTTGCATTCACGCGCCGAGGCGCGCGATCACAACTGCATTTCTCCACTGCGCTTGCTTCGGAAAGATCATAAACAACACCGTCCCTGTCCCTGCAACGCCGCCTGCCTTGCCATTGGCTTTGCCAGTCGTCCTGCGTGGGCGTTAGAGGAGAACCACGCTTCCACCCACTTTAGCACTTGCAATAACGGTACAGTACGTTATCGTGCTGTGCTGTAGAATGAGGGCCATTCCATTCATCGTGATTGGCAATCATGCAATCACGCAATCACGCGATCACGACATTAATTTAACGTTGTTCTGCAAGTTGGAGCACAAGATTAATTTTAAGTCGATTGTTTATTTCTTTAATGAGCATGACCATTTTTTAAGAAACGTAATATAAACAACCAACCACAAGGGAGCAGCCACCATTTATTGACGTGATTGCGTGATTGCGTGATTGCCAATTACGATGAATGGAATGGCCCTGAGATGCTGTGCTGTGTGATCGTTCCCATATGCAGCAACTGTAAAGTTATTACCTTACTGCGCCTTCCTGCTGCAACATTCGAAATACAGATTGATTGCCCTGCACAGCATTGCCTGTCGACTATCCCGCGACATGCTAACTTGCAGCGGGTGTAGCCGGTTACCCTCTGCAGGTTAGCATGTTATGAGATAGGAGCGAAAAAAGAGGAATCCAGTGCAGCACTGGATTTGAGTTTCTCGTCATTTCTCGCTGTAAAAACCAGTGTCGACATATATGTATATGTACATTAACGTTGTCCGCAAAGTCATGGAAAACACGTGTTTTTAACACGAGTTTTCACATCCGCCTGATTACTGTACGGCAGTGCCGGATCGACCCGTCTTGAAGGAAAACGAAGTGGGGTTTCCCCTCTCTCATCAGCACAAACGAGTCTCATACTGCACGGTTCGTACCGGTTTGCGTCATGGATGCCCCTATCACTTTATCTACCCAGAGTCCATCAACAGATCGAAGCACCACAAGATCTGCCGCATATGCCGCTAAAGCAATCGCAGAAGACAGACAAGTAGAAGCTTCTAAAGAGCGGTCCTCTCTAAACGGCCCCCCTCAGCCCGTCAAGAAGACGAAACACATCGCCCTTTCGACTGAGAACTATTCTATCCATGTGGCGAGCTACAATATTCGCTTCAGCGAGTATTCGCCCAGGTGCACGTGATCCGTCGGATGGCACAACGATGTACCAGACTTGCGTTTGTTGCGGGCAGGTACCTTGCTGGAGGTCAGTCCGCAAAACTCGTGGTGGGATTTTTCAAACTCGGGTTTACTTTACGTCCAACGAGTTTGTGGGCAAATGGAAAAAAATAACGCGTTGTTTTTTTCCATTTGTAGCACTTCGGCCTCCAACCGCACAACACACCACCATCATTCTTTTAACCATCCACGCCCTTCACGCATCGCCACCCCCCCTCCCCCCCCCCCCGCCAACCCCTCTCAGACGCAAATATGGACTCCTCGTCTGCCCCTAACGCACACAAAGAAACTCCGTTACCGGCCATACTGGTTGCGGCTGTACAAAAAGTCACGCGAGGATGGGTTGAACCACCTTTCAGGTTGATGATGACATCGACAAGGCCTGCTACGTACGGCTTGTGAAAAAGTCGTGGTTGGATTTCCAGTTTTATAATTTAATTTGCGTTATTAAATCGAAACTTAAGAGCAAGGCAACCAGTGCGCTAAATTTCGAAATTTTAGAGATTTTCCCTTGTTGGCATGTCAACTGGTGCGCTAATCGCTTTTTTCGGTTGCTATCTGGAAGCACCTATCTCTATATTCGTTTCTTTCCTGGCGCAGGATAGAAATGGATATAGCACGCGATCACTCAGAATTCATCGATATTTCATAATCACTATAACCAATCATCTTTCGAGTGCTATATGCGCCGTGCGTCAGACCCCTTGTCTTGGCGAAAAACTTGGGAAAAACTAATACTCGGCCCCTTGCGGGCCGTCACATATGGCGACGCACTTGTTGTGTTGCGCACTCTTTAGAGCGCTGTATGGCTAAAAATGTGCGCTATAAATTAGCGCACTGGTTGCCTTGCTCTTAGAGCAAGGCAACCAGTGCTCTTAGAGCAAGGCAACCAGTGCGCTAATTTATAATAAAGTCAGTTGGACGCCATTTCTTAAACGTACATGCCCTTGGCAATAGGATCTTGCGAAGCATTGGGATAGCAGTTGTTGACAACGTCAGTGCACAGAAAGGCTAAGATTATAATCAAGTTTCAATACCTGGTTGACATTTTAAACAGGCGTTTTAGTTTCGATGACAGTAACAAATAGCGTTTTGAGGTCGGTCCAAAAGGGTTCTTTTTGGGGCATCTAAAAATAGCCGGAGAAGATGTGCTGATCTCACCAAAATCCATCTTTCAGCAACGCACAAGTCAAATGTGGGGAGGGTACTTGTTTCCTTGTTGTTGAGCAAGCACAGGTGCAGAAAAAATTGGTTGAAAGGTATCCTTCGAAGGGTAGCCTCTTGTCGTCAGGACACTAGTGTCTATCCGACCAAGCATTATCACAACATAAAAATCTGTGAATTTTATTTCTTTTCAACTTTGATGTCCACGGTTTCCATTTTTCTTTGGTAGATTGAGTATTTTAAATTTTTTCTGAAGTTTCTATGCTACTTGTATAAAATTTGCTTTAAGAAAAATGCTAGTTGTAAGCCGACTTTTTCTTTGAACGCCTCTATGTGGGTACCAATGAGACAGTTTTCGGTAAGAATCGAAAACCATGTGCTTTACCTGCAGTGATGGCCTTCTGGTTACAAAACATGAACTGAAATCGCTTGTTGCGTTGTCAAGAAAAAATAAAACAACTTTTGTTCTCATATGTGCACTAACGGTCCGATAGACACTCATCTAGCCACCTCTCGAGAGGTAGTGGACCGCATTTATCGCTACTGCATCAAGCTACCATGGGAGATTTTAGTTTGGTTAGTTCTAAACTGTATACTGTTGCGCTCCACGGTGCGCCCAGTGTACCATTCACTGAAAAAAGGTCAGTTGCAAAAAAAGAGCATTTGATAGTTGCATAAACTCTATTTATAAAAAAAGGCATGTCGTTTAAAGTACTTTCCCGTAATTTGTTATTTTAAAAAATACCGCACCACAGCTTCCACCAGCTTACCCAATCTCCCTTATTCCCATCTGCCTTACTCCGTCTCCCAAAACCTGTCGGCCCCCTCCGGCAGCCACTTCATCCACTTGGCGTCGAGTGACCCTGCGACGAGCTTATCGGTGAGCTCCTGCGCGGACTGCGCGATGCCCTTGCACAGGTCGCTACCCGCCTGAATCGAGGGCTTGAAGTGCACCCCCGCGTACAGCCTCGACTCCCCGCACAGCTGCGCCCACTCGCTCAGCGTCTTGATCTCCACGTCCGTGTCCCTGCTCGGCAGCTGCCCCGGGTAGAACTTGCTCGACCCCTTCGGCACCGTGAACCGGAACGGAAAGTCGTCCCTGTTCTTCGTGTTGATCAGCGCGTGCTCCACCACCGCCGTGCACGCGCACGAGCTGCCCGACGGGAACTCCGCGTGCGGCATCGTTCGGATGAACGGGCTCCAGTCACCAGCCCTGATCTTCACCGGCCGCCGCCCCGGCCCGCCCCACACGGAGAACTGCTTCTCCCCGAACAGGTACTCCATCGTCTGCCCCGTCGGCCGCACCCCGTCCACGCGCCGCTTCTCCTTCCACGCTGTCACCATCGAGTCGAACGTCGCGATGTTCGCCCCCAGTCCGTAGATCATCTCCTCGTCCAGGTTCCAGTCCAGCGCCGGCGCCAGCACGCTGAACCGGATCGCCGTCGCGATCCCGCCGAGTCCGAACGGGTTCTCCTTCGTCCGGAACGCCTTCGCCTTGTTATCGAACAGCTCCGCGTAGATCATCTGCATCTCGGTCAGCTTACGAGATACCTCCAGCACCTCCTTGGCGTTCCTCTTCAGCGTCTTGATGTCCTCGGGTAGAGCGTTCTTGGCTTGAACAGATCCCTTTTTGTACGGGGACGGCACCTTGCGCCTCTTCACCTCCTCGGGCGTAAGGCTGAACGCGATGGCGGACCCGGCGTATGGCGTCACAGATTCCTGCCGGAAGAAGAACCCGCGCCCGTTGTTCTCGAGGAGTGGCTGCCAGCGGAAGGGGTAGCGCAGCCTCCACGGCGTATTCTTGGGGATGTAATTGGTGTAGTCGAGGAACGGCTGCCTGTATCCCTTCGGCGTGCCGCTGATATCACCCTCGCCGTTCCAGCCGTCCATGCGCATGAGGCGGGCGGTGTCGCGCCCGGCCCTGTTTCCAATGCCGACGGCGGTCGTTAGGTCCATGCTCTGGTCGTTGGGGTCGTACCCCATCTCCCTCATCATCTGTCGATACAGCGGTAGTCCCTGCGCGCCACCAAAGCTGTGTGGAGACGCCTGGTACACGCGGTAGAGCGAGTACAACACAGCGACGTTCTTGTTGTCACGCGTGTGCTCTTCGGCGGGGCGCTTGAACTTGTCGCGACCGAACATGTCAACGGCTGTCGGGTGGTAGTTGCACCAGGCATTCCAGGCCGCGAAGCTCAGGTACAGGATCCCGCGGAACTGGACTGGGGTTTCGAGATTGTCGACGAGCACGCCATCGAAAACTCGGGGGAAAGCGACGTATCCAAAGACGGAGCTCTCCCGATCCCTCGTATTCTCCGTCACATTTTGGGCAAGGGCAACCCCAAGAAGGAGCATGAAAATGGCTGTGGTACGCATCTTGAGTTGGGGGGACTTTTATAGTTGTTGGTTGGGTGTGAAGCTGAGTGAGTTGGTGAGTAAGTGAGGCAGTTGGTGAGGTGGGTTCGGACTTGCTCTGTGGATCAAGTCGGTCCCTTTTTATATGCAGTGGGTGCAGTGGGTGTCGAATATTTTAAGGGGTTTTTCCTATTCTACGGCGACAGAAGCAAAGGCAAAGTGAGGTCAAGATGAGAAGCTGTTACAACGGATCAACATCAAGGTGATGAGAAGAGATGCATCTGGCAATGTACCACGGGGTGTAGAACAGCCACTCATATCGATGCGATGATCCTCCCTTCGTAGCAGGCATGGTGTTACAGCGTTAGTAGTGCAAAAGAGAAGAGGACCGGTTTAACACCCTTAGAATACCTGCAACAATGAAAAAAATGGCGGAGCCGGATGCTCTAATCGTGATGATGCACGTGACAACGCAATAAGAGAATATTAACCTGCGCTGAAATTTTTAAAGGCACGGTAGCGTCGTATGAGAGAGAAATCATATCATTGCCTCCCATTGACTCGCCAGTATGTTTTGCTCGTTTTGATAGTATCGAGACAAAATGTGACGACATGTAGTGTCACAACGTCTCAATGTCACATCATTGAGACGTTATGACACTACATGTCGTCACATTTTGTCTCGATACTATCAAACGAGCAAAACATACTGGCACTGTGACCGGACAGATGTATCAAAGAGATGATGTCATCTCAACACACCCGATGAGCTCCAGAGCCCCTTTGCCCGCGTGTCACAACTTCCCAAAGGACTGCAATCGTGACCTCGAAGACAGTGCCGCAGCTGCTGAGCCTTCTCACTCAAGGAGTTTGCTGCGCTGCCCTCGCAACAATCTCGACACGTTTCCGAGAAGCAACGAAAGTCTAATCTAGTTTCTTCCTGTAGAAGAAAGTAATCTAAAAGAGAGGAATGGTTCTTGTTGACATGGCATTGTTTTCGGTGTCAAGATGCCAAAGCAAAATTTCCTTCCCACTTTCCTGCCAGTTCGGAAAGTCTAGCTACTGTGTGGCCTTGTTTTTCTTCTTGAACGCACCATGGTCAAGCCGGAACCAAGTATTGAAGACATTTCTATTACAAACAGGGCATCTGCAGCCTTTGTCTCTCGTACAGCAATGAGAGGAAGACTATGGCGGTCGGGAATGGTAGCACCTTCATGAATTTTTGGCTCCTTCAGGTTTGCAAATTCCGCCTAAACGGAATATTTCAAAAACCAGCACCTCAGATTCTCGATGCACAGCCGCCCCTCTTGTCCCAACGGCGTACCGTTGGGCCACTTTCTCCGCGAGAATTGCCTCCATCTTCAAAACTGCAATTAGATTTGCGATCAGTTTTTTATGCTCGCCACTTACAACAGCCTTTGTAGCTTCCTTTTTCTTTGCCAGTCAAGGGGTCTATCATGACAATACCATTCCCGGGGCATCTGCCGGTCCGATTAGGCTTTGCGTAAGCATTCGTCAAATTTTTCCGGTTGTTCTATACTTTGTCGAAAGCATACGCTGTCCAATATTCTACACCCACCATAATACACACCCTTCGGATTTCTCTAGTTCTATTGCCGGGAAGGTGTTGACATAGTCCTCTTTCCTCTCTGTCTCACCGCAGTCGCCGCAGTTTCTTCATCAGACTGTATGCAGTGCCATCTACAGTCTCTGCGAACGCATATAAAATACCCTCCCACTGTCAACGTTTCAACTCCATCACCCACTCACCTCCACCTCTCACACAAAACTCACGAGTCTTACTCAGCTGCCTAACAAAACTCACTCCTTTCTCACAATGGTTCAATTAACTGAAATGTCTACCTCGCCCGCCAAGGTCCCGAGCTCTCCAGAATCGGTCGATCTCAAGTACCTCGATGTGGCTTCTGCTCAAAGCGATCATCTCCTTCTTGTTGGTGGTGGGCCGCGTAGTGTTATTCAGATTAACTCGGAGGTCATTTTCATGATTCTCTACAGAAAGCATTTTGAAGACCTCACTAACATGGGAGCTTTATACAATATCAACACATCTGTCGTCGAAAAGCGCTCTTTCTTTGGTGTTGGTGGTGCATACTCAAACCAGCAGACCGGAATGATGAACAGCGGAATTGAAGATGATATCACCTTCCCGCTCGAGATTCCCGCCGAATCTGAGAACCTCGAATTCTTGAAACTTCTCCTGAGCTACAGGCATCGTTATGACGTTTTCATCGGTCAGAGAGCTGACGCCTACTACAAAGAGGTTCTCTCGAAGAATCTCCCTGGCGCTGCCATGTTTAAGCGCTCGCTCGGGCCAATGTCGACCACAGCCAATGGTCAACTAGAGCATGAGAGTGCTTACCTTATGAGAGGTACCGTCGGTGAAGAAGAATATAACACTTTTGATGTGATCACAAAGCTTGCCGAAAACCTCCTCCCCTTCTACAAACTCCGTGTTCTTCCGTCCAAGACCGTCGAAAAAATTGCCATCGAAGAGCATGGAAAGCCCATCGCTATCATCAGGGGCAACAAGAGCAACTCAGCAGAATTGATTGCCGCCGATCAAATGCGGCTTAACACTGGCACAACGGTCACTAACCCCGTTTCAGACAAGGCGATACGCAACCTCACTTTCTGCCAGGCCATGAACGTCGATCATTTCAAGAACTACTGCTCCCAACGCGGTCTCCTGGACCAAAGCGGTCGTCTGATCCCTGGCTCGAAAATGCTCAGTGGTGGTATGAGCTTGTCTGGTCTGGACCAGATCTCTGTCCTGGATGGCGTCATGAATTTGTTTGAGATTGACGACTCGGAGCTTCTGGGCTACAAGGTCACCCAGCAGGCTACTGAAAAGTATAAGGGAGCCATTACCCTGATGAGCCGTACTCCTGGAAATTCCTGTTATCCGAGACACACAATGACTGCAGAGTGGCTACAGGGCACACCTGTGATGGCCGCCAGCAAGCACCTCCACTCCTTGTTCCTGCATGGAAACGGGGAACAGGTCTTCAGTATTTGGAACGACATCATGGTGGCCACCGTGGCCCGTGCTACTAACTTCACCCCTGCTGAGGCAAAGGCCATGTTTTCTTCCACTGAAGAAACGCTCAAGTTCCAGTTTCAGGAATCCCAGCGGTTCCTCGAATCCATGCAAAAAGTTGGAGAGGAAGAAAAACGTGGAAACATGGAGGCGAAGGAGCACTTCCTCCGAGAAGCTACCAAAACCACCTATGGGGCCTGGCGTCAAGCTGCCTCGTGCCTCATTTTCGGCTTCGGTATTGAAGAGAATCTCGAAAAAGCCACTGAGGAAATGGAGGCATATGCACCCCATACCTGGAAGGGTCGCCAAGGATGGTTGTATCACCGTGCCCAAGTGTCCTGTTTCACTGACCCCGAGTTTTCTACCAAGTCCTCCAACATGAATTTGTTCAAGAACTGGGAATGGATCATGATGCATGTGACTTCTTCACCGGTTGAGATTCACAGCATGTTCCACCTGCTTCTCGAAGCGGGAATTGCTAAGTACGAACAGGGTTCGTATACTGACGTTTATCCTACGCAAAATGGTGAGCATTTGTCGATGAAAGAAGATGAATATGACGCTCTCCTTGTATCTCCAATGTTTGAGCGTCAAGAAGATGGTGCAGTGCAATCTCTTGCCGGGCTTGTGAAACCGTATCATGCTGACCACCCCAACTTCGGAAGGGTTGGCAGGTTCAGAAGATTTCAGGACCAGAACGGTGAATTCCTTCCGATCGAGGACAACGGCCTTGGTGGAAAAGGATTCGATGTCAAGACAGAAACTGGCGAGACCTCTCGCGCTGGCTGCTTCGCGGTCGATATCAACAGCAGAGCGTCTGGTGTCAGTGTTGGATCCTCTTTCACAATGCGTCGGATGGCTCTATCTCATCTCAGGGCTGCGGGTATCGAAAACGCAGAACGCGTTTTGGACAACATCTACGACAGCGGCAAATCGAGGGAGGATGAGTTCAACGATGAAGTGCGCAAATTCGAGACGCACTTCAAGGAGGTTTACGAGATTTGGGCCTACACTAAGGCCATCGAGATGGTCGCTGGGGATGACGTCGATCTCTTTCAGACTTTGTATGACGCTGGATTGAATCAAACCAGTCGTATGGATCAAATCCGCAAAATGAAGGAGAGTAAGGAGTCCAAGCTTAACGAGGGGGCTGCTCTATACGAGGCGAATTTGAAGGAAATCCCAGTATATCAACCTCCTGCGCGTGATGCCTATCTGGAGCGGTTCGTCGATACTACCGAAGACGAGGACCGGTACTTATACAATGAAGCCTTCAATCTTGCCAAGAAGCACCTTCAACTCGCTCTTTGAGCATATGCAGAAGGCTTACTGCAGATAGATAATGATGTTATGAGAATTCCTTTTCTGGCCACGGCTATCTTAACCAACGAGAAAAACTTAGGTAGTACAGTACAACTAAATGAAATACAACTTCAAATTGAAAACTAAAACCATTCTTCCAACTCTAAACATTTCGCGCAGACTCGAGGGTGAGTATGACGTCTAACAAGAAGTGTGAGAACGCATTCCCAGCTTTTCTTCAAACATTCTCTGAATTGCCTGCTTCCCATCATGAAAAGTTCCCCCTCTGTTTTCGGGGACGTACTTTTTCAGTATGACATGATGGATGGTAATAGTAGTAGGTACTTGCAAGGCTAGCTAGAGAGGAATGGCAGAAAAGAAATACAGGAAGCAGAAATCAACATTAAAAGACCGGGATAGGGAGGAGGGGAGACGAATGCTGTAGCAGGTCCAACGCTGTGGATGCGGCAACAGGAGGTTGTTCGTACACAGAGAAGAGTAGAATGAAACTTGGGCAAATACGAGCCACCAGTCCTAGCAAGTTTTGCAGAGACAAACTGCATGGTGTGCGTACAAGACAGTATTGTGTATACACCACGGGGTTTGCAGTATAAAATTTGAAGATGATGGTTTAGATGAATTTGACCACATTCCTTTAAATCGATATGCCCCATGAGCCACATTCTGCTTCTTCTCTGTCGAATGAAATTGCGATGAGCGGGCAGATGTCTGCATGATCCTCTGTGGCTGAAAAAAATTCTCCTCCTCGCCCTGCTGGATACGATTTCTTCAGCTGACATGACTGAAGGAGTTGTTCTTTCGATGCCGCCATAAGGGACGGTTAATGATATTCCTACATCAGAAACACGGTTTTTCTTTGACATGATCATGCGTGTATGTAGTTTCCCTCCACGGTACATGGAATCTCCGTGTGGTTTACGATAGTGCGGAATACGGGCAGTTGCCGTCCCTTGCTGTACACATCCATTCCTGTTCATGATCGTGGAACTCAATTCCAAGACAGAATTCCCAGAAAAAAAAATTTGTCGATTGAGCCGCTTCCTTTGAAGTTGTGGATCACGTGTTGGTCGTTTTCGGTCCATATGCTACACAGATGGACATTATTTTAATGTTGCTAAGCTAATACTTAAAATAGTAGGCGGGATAGCCTGTAGATAATGCATCATTAGGTTTGGGGAATCAGGTGCGTCATCAAAGTAGCGGCAATCCTATTCGCTGAAGCTAAAATTCGTCAAAGAAGCAGTTCAACGATCAACCGACAATGCACCTGCGAGGCACCGCTGTTGTGGGGAGACGCATATGCATGCGCCATACAGCTGCGGTTACAGCCACCAGATACTGTACCGGGACAAGTTAAAAGCATGCCGTCACGAAAAGATACACACACAAAAAGGCTTGATGTGTATGAAAACATCGGCATTTAGGATTCTGCAATCAAAATTAAAATCGACACGGACTTCTAGAAGGAAACTACCACATCTATTCCTTTGCCTCTACCGGTTCATCCATAACGCTAAGGTCTGTGTAGCCCTCACTGGTCCATACATTTTCCTTACTCGTGTACCAATATTCCATCGGAAGCATCGGGCGTAATTCCCTCCCCTCCTGCATCTTCTCGACCAAATCCGGATTTGAGAGGAACGGCCTTCCAAACGCGACCAAGTCTGCGCCGCCCTCGGACAGCTCCTTCTCTGCCGAGTCGGCGTCGAATCCAACATTCGCAATAATCGGTCCCGGGAACTCCTTCTTCAGCTCCGCAATCGTCATCGGCTTGCCCTTGTTGTGGAAGCCGAAGCCCAGCCCGATCATGACGTGCATGTAGCCCAGCTTGTACTCACTGAACCTCCTCGCGTAGTACAGGAACGACTCGCGGAAGTCGTCGCTCCCCATGCCATTGTACACACCGTTCGGAGCGATGCGGATCCCCACGCACTCCGGCTCGAACACCGTCAGAACAGCGCGGATGCACGCGTCCACAATGCGGAAGCGGTTCTCCAGCGATCCTCCGTACTGATCCGTGCGATGGTTCGAGCAGCTCTGCATGAAAGTATCCAGCAGAAAGCCGTTCGCGCCATGGATCTCCACGCCGTCAAAGCCGCCATCCCTGGCGACCTGCGCGGCGTTCCGAAACTCCTCCGGCAGCGCCTCGATCTCCTCGACGGTCATCGCCCTGGGCGTCTCGACATCGACCTCCCCGCCCCTGGGCGTGTGTCTCTGCTTGCCAGCTTCCGACGCCCTCTTGATCGCGGACGGCGCGACGGACAGCTTCTTCTCTCCCTCGTACCCGTCCTCGCCATCCCTGAAGGCCGAGTGGCTGGCGCGGCCCGCGTGCCACATCTGGCAGAAGATGCGGCCGCCGGCCTCGTGCACCTTGTCCGTGACGATGCGCCAGGCCTTAGCGTCGTCGGACGTGACGAGCTCCGGCGTGTGGAACCAGCCGCGCCCCATGACGGACGTGTGGGTCCCCTCCGTGATGAGCAGGCCGGCCGACGCGCGCGACGCGTAGTACTCCGCCATCAGCTCGTTCGCCTTCAGCGCGGACGTGGCCCGGCCGCGCGACATCGGCGCCATCACGACGCGGTTGGGCAGCGTGAGAGTCTCGCCCAGCTTCAGCGGCGAGAAGAGCGTCGGGTGCGAAGTGGAGCTTGCCATTGTGTTTTGGGGGTCCCGTGTGGGCGGAGCGGAGAGAGCTGGTGGTGGATGGAGAGAGGTTCGTTCACCGACGGAGACAGCGACTTTTATACGATCGGTGTCGCCCCAGCCGGGGGCAGCTGGTGAGCGCGAAGATGTGACGATGACGTCCCTCTGCGCGGGTTACCAAACCGTGGGCATATTAACGCCAGTTTGCCACACCGCCAGCCGCGATTGGACACCGCGCGTGACGGCTCGCTTCTCCCTTCAGCGCAGGTGGTCCTTCTGGAAGAGCGTAATTTTTTAATTAGTTAACGCTGCCCCGCGCGCACCTTCAGGCCACATCCTTGGCCGTCTCACCCGTTTCTACGCGCAGCTTGCCAACCTGTTTACCCCTTGGCGCCCGGCCTCTGCCCCCCCGGTTTCTACGCTTTATCAGCCTACGCATTGATAGCCCGCGGCAGAACCGCGCCGCGTCCCCGCCGCCTCGAACACGCGCCCCGCATCCCTCAGTTGTTTGCGTGC